TTTTTTTTTTTTGTGTCTGTTACCACTTTTTCTCAGCTCTCACCGAACGGATTTCTTTCAACGATACGTCAAAAGATCACAAATCGTATCTAGTCGAAGACATTACCCTTAAAAATTGAAAAAATTTCCCTCGTTCCCCGTAAATGGGGGAAACCTCCAAAAAAATTACAAATTTAAAAATGGCTATTTTTCGAAAATTTTTCAATTTTGTTTACTAAAAATTGCCGTAACTTTTTTTNGTAAAAAAATTCTTTTTTATATTTTTAACTTTATAATGCTATAACTTTTTGAAAGATGTATGGATCAATATAATTCTTTTTTTTGTAGATGCATGATGTCTTTACCTATCATTTGGTATATTTTTTTTATAAATCTGACTTTTTACCTGCCTACAGGGGGGATTCAAAATGACAACTTTTTCACAAAAAATTGACTTTTTCAACTTAATTTTTGAAACTGTTCCGGAAAGTCTGACACTTTTATATACAGGGTGATTTTTTTATCATAACCCACTCAATTACTTACAGAATAATAATAATTTAAAAAATTTTTTTTATTACTATCTTTAATTACACATTATTCNTTTTTTTTATTATTATCTTTAGTTACACATTATTCTTGAATTATTAACTATGTAATACTTTTTAAGATCATCCCTTATGCCTGGTAAGGGTGTCAACTTTGTTTTTTTAAATGGTAACACATATTTTGAATTTAATAAAATGTTTGAGTTTTCAATTCAATAACAAATGTCATTTGAATTTTTAATATAACTTTATTCGTTTATTAGATATAAACATTTAAAGTTTCAATTTTTTGAGTTAATATACATGTATAATACACTAGGGATTAAAATTACAGGTAGCTAATTGGTTTTTTATGGCATCGATATTAGCAGGTACAAAGCATTGTTATTATCGATGGTAGTAAGACACATTGTTGTGAGTTTATAAATACATTAACTGACAATACAGAAAGTATATCTATTGATAATCATAATTGATAATAAACAATCCGTGACTGTGATATCAATGTCATAAAAATCCAATTAGCTACCTGTATTTACAATTCCATGTGTACTATATATGTATATTAACTCAAAAATTTGAAACTTTAAATGTTTATATCTAATAAACGAATAAAGTTATACTAAAAATTCAAATGCCATTTACTATTAAATTAAAAACTCAAACATTTTATTGAATTCAAAATATGTGTTACCATTTAAAAAAACAAAGTTAACACCATTACCAGGCATAAGGGATGAACTTAAAAAGTATTACATAGTTAATAATTCAAGAATAATGTGTAACTAAAGATAATAATAAAAAAAAATATTTAAATTATTATAATTCTGTAAGTAATTGAGTGGGTTATGATAAAAAAATCACCCTGTATATCTTAAATTAAAGCTAATGTAATCTACTTTATTATGTAAAAAAAAAATTTCGGACTTTATTTTGTCTTCACGGTGAAAATGGCTACCAAATGCTATTATTGTGTGAAAATTCTCAATTTTATTTTTTACATTTTTAACATTATAATGCTATAACTTATTGAAAAGTGTATTGATCAATATAATTTTTTTATGGGAAATACTATTTTTTAATGATCCCTTTTTCATTCGACATACTTTATCTTAATCAGGATATTAATAAGGAACTAGCAGTTTATGAAGCTTTTGGAATAATCCATCAATTTTTTAAAATTAAACACTATCTAAAGATTTGCATCGAATCGTTTTTTTTTTATAGTGATTTTAATCACTGTCAGATATCATTATACTTGATCCAACTATGCCACGTCACCACTGTGCCGCGACCCCCCTGTGCTGGGTTTTTTAAATTGAATTCCACATGAAATTTTTAAATAAACAATTTTTAATTTGGTGGAATGTATAATATTTAAAATATCAAAATTTCTCAAGAGGATTGAAGGAGATTTCCTCTAAATTGGGGAATACATATACAATGTGTACCACCAGATTTGACATCAAAAAAACTTTTGATCCAGTAAATATTTTGCGTTTCTTTATATTTTAAATAATTTTCACAGTTTTGTACTAGATTATATACATGTTATTTATTAATTGTCCCTAATAATAATTCATCATTTTTTTTAAATTTCAAGATAATTATTTTTAGTCCTATTCTTATAAAAAAATTTTAATAGGTCAATATAAACTTTATGATAAGTACTTGTGTCAGTTACAAGAATTTTAATACATTCGTCATATGTAGCGTGTTTAGGGAATGCATTATAAATAAATGCCAACTCAATTTAATCAAATATTTGTAACTCAAAAAGTACTTACACTAAAGATGACATAGACCCACAACATTTTTTTGTTAAAAAAATAAATAAATAATTTCTTTTAACATAGTGTAAAATTATTAAAATTATTTTAAAAAACGAAACGCAAATTATTAGCTGGTTAAAATATATTATATGTAATTATAATTTCATATAAAATTACCTTTTTTTATCAATTTATGAGATATTTTGTCCAAATTAATTACACAATCAATATTTAAATTCGACAATATATTTTTCATATAAGATTTAATTTTTTTAAGAATTCTGAATGGATCAGGTTTGTCTTGGTATGTGTTAGATAAAACTGAATTAAATGATGCAAAAAATTTATTAGATCTTTTACAATTTTCGCAAAACTCATTCATAGTTGATAATAACGATGAATTATTAATATACACTAATATGTCTTCAAATGATTTTTTCTTATCATTTTCAAGTCTTATCATATTAATAACATTCATTGAAAAGTCAAACTGCCATGAGTTAACCTTAAACTTGCCATAAGTAAAAAATGACAACATTCTTACCGCGTAATCTCTTACATGTTCATATCTTAATTTGAATTTATGATTTGGATTTTCTTTTTTTTTCGTAATATCGTTATTAAAAATATTTAAAATTTTTAGACTTAAATAAACATGAAAACATTCCAAAGATTCGAGTATTGTTTTTAAGTTGTTTAAACTATCAATTTTATTTTTTCTACAAATATAATCGTTTTTGCAGGCCTTTGATAATAATTCAATATCATGTGGACTTATTAATGAATAGTTTATGTCTTCTTTTACATTTATGGGGATCCATGTTGTAATATCGTTTTCAAATGTACTTATTACATGTAAAAATGAATGGTCAAATGTACTGTTATAATCAGGAGGCTAAAAATTTTAACAAGATAAATTATTATTAATAAATTAATTTTTAAATTAAATATCAATTTCTGTTACGTTGCCGTTTTTTTTGTATTATTAAAGACGTTGCATTATATTTAGTTGGATGAACTTACAGAAATATAACAACTGTATTTATAATACCTAATGTACAATTCAATTATGTTTTTTTTTTTTGGAGAAAAATTATTTTTACATAATTTATGCTATATATGCAATGGGGTTAATATAGTCTAAATTTACTTTTTTTTTCATGAAATTTTTTACAAAAATTTACTCTATTAAGTTTTTTTAATTTTTTTAAACTTAACAAACTACAATTTAATAATAAGAAAATTATTTAATAAAAATAATACTAATCAATAATTAATTTTTTTGTATATAAAGGTACCACAGTAGTAGCATACTACTTTGTAGATAACTGTGTGGTTAACTGAAAATTCAAAGTAAAAGATTAAGATGAAGTGTTTCCTTTAAAATATCATTTAGACTTACTTGGTCATCTATTTTTTCATTTACCGCGAAAACTCTATTTGTAAAAATAAATATAACAAAAAAAATTTTTAAAATACTAATGGAATAAAATTTATTACTTATCATTTTTCAATTTATGCCGTTTTAATTAAAGCACAGTTCTAATTAATATAATATATTAATTAGATTATATTATAATCTAGAGAATACGTTAGTAATATTTTAATTTAAATTGACAAATGAGTTTAAATGAGTATACAAGGAACAAAAAAATTGTGCTATTAAAAACTTACTTTAAATAAATTTAGTATCTAATTTATAGCAATTTGTTATTATTTTAAGCATAATTTATTAAGTATTATAAAAACAGTTTTTATGAACAAATTTAGGTATAAATTTATTTATTTATTTTTTTTACTTCAAACATATTTTTCATAATAATAGTATTTATTTCTATACATAATTTGAATTCATTTGACATCTTGATTATCAACATTAGTTCAGTAAAAATTGAGTATTAATGAGGCAAGTACAGTAAAAAAAACATTTTAATATGATTAATACTTTAATAGCTTGAATGAATACTAAAATTTGATCAGCTGGCATGAAGTCAGAATTTATTTTAATGGTATCGAAAATTCTTCAGCTTCACGATACCATAAAATAACTGAATGCGTATTATATGCGTTAGAACAAATATATTTCAAATTGTTAGAAGTATACAGATATAATTTGTTTGGTCCAAGCTAAGCAACGTTGTAGTCCAAAAGTATTTACCTGAAAATTTTTGATGGCTAAGACACTTATAAAAAAAATTCTATTGAACTTCTAAGTTTAACTTAGATTTAACTTGGAAATTAAAACCACCTCAGAATCGTACTATTTTGTAATAAAAAATCATGAACTATACGCTAAAATTGTGAATTATCTAAACGAAGCCCTTGATATTATAATAAAGTTAATGTGAGTCAAACACCAAACTTTTAAGCGCAATAATTCATCGTAATTTTTTTTTTTTAAGATAAGCCTTTGTAAAAATTATTGATGTCATGAGTGAATATAAGAAACCGCCATACATTAATACTACGATTTCGGAGCCGACGCCGAAACTCAGAATAGGGAGATAGAATGTTGACACAATGTTGTCAAAACCGGTGAGTAGTTGGAAAATGTGAAAAATACCGGATGAGAAAAAACCACACCGGTAAAAATTTAAATACGTTTATAAAATTGAACAAGTAAAACTTCAATAAAAAATTATGGCAGCAAGGTCTAAAAAGTCAGTACCATTTGCCTATATCAGTTTTTACTTTTGAGATAAATTTTTTAAGTTGACATCATCATATCATATTAGCTTTGTCAAAATATCCCATGTTTTTATTATAATCTTTGACAATCTGAGAACAATTTATAGTTGTTACTCGGACATCTATTAATTTCCTATTCATCTGAGCTGATTGTATTGAATCATGGAATTTGGATAAAAAATGTATTTTTTTATTATCCATTCATTTTATAGCAACAACAACTGCAATTTTAACTCGCTATTCATATTGTCATCTTGATAATTTTTTATTAATTGAAAAAATTGTTTTAGCTCTAGCTAATATATTATTTTCCATGAGTTCAGCCATCAACTTTACAGAAGAAAAGAAATTGTCAAAATTAATAATTATTTGATTGTTAATATTAAAATTGTTACCCAATAATAATTTAAAATTTAGCGCTACAATTACATAAGTATTAAATTTCCCTGTGGATAGGGGCTAAGAATACTTCTACAGCCCCTCTGCCAGTATAAGAGGCGACTAATGAGATTGCGTCAGGTGAACAGCTGGAGTAAAAATTATTGTTAAAAAAGTATGAGGAATCTAGAACAAAACTTAGTGGCCGACTCCAAGTAGTTGGAATTAAAGTAAGGAAAAAGAAGAAGAAGAATTACATAAGCATTAATAAAATATGAATAATTATTTATTTTTAGTTATAAGTCTATTCTTCCTAACTGTTATAACTCCATATTATCAGCTCCTATAATAATTATTCTATCCTTAGGTTTAATAAGTTTTACATCATCAATTAATATTAAATCAACACACGAAATATTAGAACCGGTATCTAAAATTGCAAGCTATTTAAAACCATTGAATTCAACTTCCATTGACAAAACTCTAAGTTACCTTCGGCTTCTAGTTTTTTATTAAGGTATGTAATATCTCTGACTTCCTTATTTTTCCCACTAATATCTTTTTTTATTCTATAAATTTCTTCATTGCTATACCAACCCTCTACTAATTTTATAAGATCTAACTTCTCTTTATTTATTATACTTAAAAATTCTTTATTCTCTTTATATTTACAATCATTCCGAGTCAAATAAAAATTCCGATTATTTCACTCGGACCTTATACGTTTTTTTGAACGGGACACTTGTCGGCATAATGACCTACATTTTTACAATTGACCTTGCTTAATTTAGTTATTTTCGTACCTACGAAATTTGGGGGTTTTATACCTTGACTGTCTTGATTTTTATATGACTCTTTCGTCTGATACGCTTTTTTTTTAAATAGGAACATATCCCTTTATACGTAAGGGGTCAACAATTTAAACATGCGTATTTAAACTAGAACATTTTCAATTTAATTTTTGAAAGTGTTCCGGAAATACTGACATTTATAAATATATCTTAAATTAAAGCTTATGTAATATACTTAAATTTGAAAAAAAAAATTTGACCTCTGGATTTGTCTTCATAGTGAAAATGACTACTGTATTCAAAAATATGCTAATTTTGTGTTAAAAATTTGGTATTCGTATTTTATTTTATTCTACAATACCTGACAAGGGCAGTACACCGATTACAACTTTTTCAGATTAATTTTTAAAAGTATTCCGGAATGACTAACACTTTTATATATATATCTTAAATCAAAGGTAATGTAATATACTGTATTATATTTCCCGCAGGGGAATCCGCAAGGATTACGGGCCTAACAACCCCGCGGACCCTAGTTATTTCAGTGGGGTTGGCAACACGTACCACTGCTCTTAGCCGGTCATGACTTTGGTTAGTTGGGACCGGTAAGCCTGGGCATACCTGCTTGCTAACAGCGAATAGGCCCCCCTAACCCAGCCATACCAAGTGAAAGGGTTGCTAACTTGTCACAGGGTAGTTAGCCGAAAGGTAAAGTGACCATTGGGATCCTCTATGGCACCTGGCGCACCATAGAGTATACAGCCTTATCACAGTATCGAGCTCTGCTGTGACGGACCTTTATTTCTCGACTTCTCGTGGGAACTATATGGACAAAAACATAGAAAAACCACAAAACAACGAACTTGTGACGATCAGGGATCCTACGGACAACCTGTCGGAACAAGATCGTGAACTGGCGACTCTTCGCAGAAGAATCGCCGAACTTGAAGGTCTCAATGCCAACAACGGGACACTTGGTGAACCGTCTACTAGCAAAGAGACAGCAACGTCAGAAAATGTAGACCAGGAATCGCAAGATCAACTGGGAGCAGTAGCTGACAAAATCGAAGGTCTAAAACTTAGACCTGAGAAATTGAGCGGCAGTCAGAGGCGCAAGCTGAAGAGGAGCCGAGCAAACATGGAGGGGCAGAAGAACCTACCAAAGGAGGGAGACAAGGGAACCGATGACTTGAAAAAGTCAAAGGGAACCGAAGCTCAAAAACCTGAGGACAAGGGGCAAGAACCTCCATGTAAGAAAACTCATTGGGTACCGACCTACAGGGACGTGGTAACCGATGATAAAAAAGTGGCTCTGGTCCTCGCAGGCTACCCCACTAACAAGTTGACCACAGAGCAGGGGCTACTCATTGAGTCTTGTGTTGGAGACTTGATACTGTCGGGTACTGATGGAACCGACGTACCAAGGTTTGAAGACACCAGACTCACTGATGGAGCACTTGTGATCAGTGCAGCCCAAGAGAGCTCTCTTAAGTGGCTCACTGACCATGTCAACTTGATAAAACCTTGGGACGGTGCAGAACTCCATTTGGAAGCCTACAACCCGATCAAGTATAAACGGATGGTCACTCACATACCAGGGCTGCCAAAAGATTCCAAGAAGATCATGGAAATTTTGGCAAAACAAAACCCAGGGCTGAACACGGCGATCTGGAAAGTCCACCATGAGACAGAGGTTGGCCCGAAAGGACAAACTCTGTTTCTAAGTGTGGACGAAAACAGCATGGTCAAACTGGAGGAACTGAAGCGCAGTCCATATTTTGGAATGGGCAGAGTTTGCTTCACAGATTATGTTGCCAAGCAGCCACCAGCCCGGAAGGATGTGAAAAAATCCACACCTCAAAAATCTGGGAAGAGGAAGGCTGAGGAATCACCAGTGCCACTCGGGAAAGGAGGTAAGGCACAGGTAAGGGGCAAACGGACACACTTTACTCCTGCCTCGAAAGGGAAGGGAGGAAGTGTGTTACGTAAGGGAAAGGGACCCAGGAAACCGCCACCCTCAATAACGGCCACAGCTGAG